CTGGGAATGGGTTTTAATTACCCAAAAAATATGAATAAAAGAATGATTCTTAAGTTATATAAAGCAAAGTGTCTGCAACACTATATGTCTATCTTTTAAGATTAACTTGCAAGTACAACGGGGCACCACCGATGTCCTAGACGATCAAAAAAAGGAGGAGGTGGTTTTGATGCCCAAAATAACTAACTATTCTACGCGGACGAAATCGCTGACACAGCTAGTGTTTAAAATAATACTTCTGCTATCATATTATAAATGTATTTATAGTTTCTTCTTCAGCCATTAATTTTAAGTATTGACAAACAGCCATCAATATAGAGAACTGGCCGTAAACAAGCGCCGAGGAACGTAAAAAAAGGCGATATAAGTCAACGTCGAGACACCCCATACAAGACGGGCAAAGTTTGTTCCACCCTTGGTCGGCCACATTTTTACGCGTCCAAACAAATTAATACGGACGTCTGGGGCTCCTAGAGTTGTCAAATTAATTTCTTCGCGAAGACAATTCGTCTCCGGAGGGTAAAAAACTTCAATATCGATCGTTTGCCCATTAGTTCCCTCGCTTCCCAGAAGATCTATTCGTAATTAAAGAAGAGAAATTGGCTCGCGGTGGAAAAAAATACGCAGTTCGCTTTTAAATTTGTTTTGATTGAATGGTTGGACGGTATGCTGTAAAATTTAAGTAGCTAGTAATCGGGTCGTGGGTTTTAACTCCACCAAGTTTGCAAGGTGTGCCTAATCAATTATAGTTTTTCTGGAACACGTTGCACTTCGTCTGGAAATCTGGATATGTAAAAAGAATCGAAAATTTCATCCGAGGAACGAGTCATCGTCCACAGATGAAAAAGATCGTGAAGTTTAATCGCGTTTCGGTTGCAGTCTGTGTAATGCCGAATATCGGTTCAAAGACATTTACTTTCTTGAGAATATCCTAAGGTATAAATAGGTCGAGTGAACCGCATGTCTGTCCTAAACACGTCCAAACGGCCTACAAAATAATAATTTTGAAAAATCTTTTCTTGGTGTATCATAAAAAATAGAGCTAAGAATCCACTAAATGTCTCCTTATCTGTAAAACATTGCGTATCTTTGAATGAAGTGACAGCGAACAGCAGCACACGAAACAAAAACAGCGTTCTCACCTCGCGAAAAGCGGAACGGACAGAGATTCATTGCTGCTATATTTGATTCGATTGTATCATCAGAATGTCATAAATCCTCTCCCTACTTGTTACTTCCCCTTCGTATCGATAGTTTGTTGTGATCATATTATGTCCATACTCTGAGATAACTAGAACGTCTGATACTACTTGTTTACGGAAACTTATTCGAATATTCGGGTTTATTCGGTAACTTGGTTTTGATTGCTTGTAGCTTAGGTGAGATTAAATGAAACAATCTTAATGGTACTGTCTGTAGTTGACGCTAGTAATACACATTTAAATAAACACTTTAACGGTTTAAAACGCGTTTTACATTAGTTAAACTTGTTTAAAAATTATTTTAACTACGGCCCGATTTTCGAATGCTTTGCAGCAACTATAATCACGAGGAGATTGTCTCCCTTCCAAACAAGTTTAACTAATATATATCGCGTTTCAAACCGTTTAAGTATTTGATTAATTTTTTTAACTATTTTAAAACTGATACATATTCGATTAGTTGCGACCACGGATGTGGTAAAGCATTGGAAACGTAGGTTGTAGGTAGGTTAATCTTTAAAACGAGCTAATATATATCACATTTTAAACCATTAAATTGTTTTGTTCGTGAAAGATGAATAGTTGTAAAGAGTCGGGTGATGTGAGTAATACAGTATATACTTTGTTAACATTTAATATGCTTCATTCGATCTATACATTTTAATTCCAGGATTCACAATGAAAATATCGCACACAAATTAATGCTGTCTAGAAGTTTAACTTTGAAAGAAATCTCCAATTATGTTTATGGTTTATGAACACTGTGGCTTTTCCCAGCTGTAGAAACTACTAATGGACTTGAGAACACAGTCTACCAGACTAGTTAAGACGCCTATTAAAATAATATGTAATTAAAAAATGCCTCTTTACATTGATATGATATGATAATAAATATACAGAAAAATACAAAAAATTATCGAAATACGAAAAGACTAGTAATATTTACATAATTTTCCAGACATTTCCAAATTAACACAAATTATTTTTTTACAGACAAATGTTTATATGTGCCTGCCACTTCAGCCTGCCTTCAGGAATTGAGCTACGTCAGCGATCAGAGCATACTAATATCGAAATAAAAGTTTAAATTTCAATTAACAATGATTCGATAAGTTCTTTAATGAGTGGTTCCGTGGATTTATCGTCGGATAACCGACAATTAAACGTCTTTGTTCGAGACGCGACGACAGCGCCACGCCCCGCGACCTCACAAAACGTATTACAACCGCATATGAAACTGAATTTGAAGGGCTTTTTAATTCTTCATACAAGAACTCATTGAATAAGTGTTCTTAATCAAATATACGTCATTTGATTATCCAATATTTTACAATGTCGTTTCTATGTCTGCTTCTAATTTCCAATTTGTTGGCTTAAAACGCAAAATATTTTAACTTATCAAGTAATTATTGTAATATGTCCACAGACCAGAGTATTTTACCCACATTTTTTTCCCCGGAATTCGAACCCAGGAAATTTCGCACTATATTATTTTTAGAAGAAAAAATTTTGGGGAGGAAAAAATTTAAAATTTAAAACAAGACGTATTAATTTAAGATTTACATATAATATGCTTAATTATTAACCCCTTCAAAACAGAGAAATTAAGCGCCAATACTAGGTTTGAAAACTGGGAAAACATAAAAATAGTTCCACCGCGAAAAAAGGGACCCCGACCCCCCCCCAACCCCCACGAAACAAAATTTCATCTATGTATAGCGGATATAAATAAAATAAAAAGTTGAAGTCTCTTTATATCAATTTGTTAGTGCCATGTCCTGGATTCGAATACTGATAATTGATTATTTTGCGCAGAAGACATAACGAATTTGCTTTCGGCCTTTCTTATAAAGAGCACAGTTGTCCATTATAAATCAAATTTGTACTTACTTAGCTTATCCTGCAATATCGTACATCCACGTTGCAAGGGCGCAAAATATAAAAAGCAAGCCCTCACAAGTCGATGTATTGTCCGCACGCTAATTTTTCGTAAACAAAGCCCTTCGGATACAGATCAACTGTTACACATTTTATATATATTATATATTAAATTATTATGACAAAAAACTTCAGAATCTAATCATTTATTATTTTTTAAAGATAGATTGGAAACATGCGGTTCGTTAGATAGTAGGTGAAATGCTCACGAGATATAACAACTAAGCAAGATGCGCATCTGTCCGCCTCTTTCGGCTTTAGACATTTCACGAATTAGAAATCTTATCTATAATCAAACTTTTTCTACTACCTACTTAAAACCATACGTTTTAGAAGTCGACTGTAAATTCTAGATATATGCTTATTATATAAACAAAATATGAACTTAACAGAAAGCAGTTAAGCTCAAACATAAAAATTGAAATTCATAACAAAAAACATGTTTTGGTATCAACATCTTTGAATCTATTGTCCGCCTTATCAAACATCTTCAGTACCCTCTATGACTTATCATTTCCTGGTCCATCTAACTTTTATCCTCTCAACAATAGCAATTGATTTCTTATATCAATCAGGAGTTCTTAACTTTAGTTCTTATAAACTAGCTTTCACTCGCGACTTTGACTGTATGTAATTTAGTTTATATGTTAGTATAAATTAAGTAAGCTAATTATTTATTTTTGGTATCATTTGATGCTTCCAAGATGAATAAGTTTACTTATCTGTATTGATGGCAGCGTGGTGCTTTATAGCCTAAAGACTTTCTCGATAAATGCTGTGACCAGACAAAAATATTACTTAAATCGAACCAGTAGTTCCTGAGATTAGCGCGTTCAAACAAACAAACTTTTCAGCTTTATAATATAAGTATAGATATTGTATTAATTTTTGATATTTAAAACATTTGTTCGTCCACAGCGCATGCTTCATAATACACAGATATATATTTTTAGTTGGGTTTTCAATTTAACGAAATGTTAATGTCCCAATGTATAAAATTAATGGTTTTCCCTAGCATTCAATTGTAATAAAAAAAAAACACTAATTTTGTCACTTATAAAGCTTTGGATTTTATTAAATGTACAGACAAACTGTGTTAATTATGTTTGATATTAATACAAAAGGATAAAATTGTATACATATACTACACGATCTAAGACACAATAATAGCATTTCTTGTTTCATTCAACGACTATTCATTCATGTCGATCGTAAATCTAATTTGAATGAAGACATGTTCATTCATGTTTAATTAGACATGCGTTTTTATGTTAGAGATCATTCAGTTTAAAATTAAGGATCTCTTGAAAAAAAAAACATTTTTACTAATTCCATGTAGAAAAGTAAAATTTAAATAAGTTCACTCATATATTTCCATCAAATGTATTTTATTAATAAGATTATTGTACTTCTATTTTCTAGTTGCCTAGCATTACAGCACCGGTGGTCCTGGGATAGAATCCCGAGGAAACAATAATTGATTTTGGTCGGCCAGGCATGGAACTCTGCTCAACTTACATGTAGATAAAAAGTGATCAGTTAAACGGATATAGAAATATGTTCGCCCCATGCCCCACAGGTGGCGACGGGATTTTACTCCGAATTTCCAAAGCCAAAATAGGTCGACCGCGCATCTTTTTTCGGTGTTTAATCGCTGGGATATTTCAGCTACCATCAAGTAAATGATGCTTGTCATTCCTCCTCTCTAAAAAAAAACATTCTAAAGCTCATCCTTAGACTAGGTTTTTATCAATGTATTCGTTTTAAGTCAATAAAGCTTTGTTCCTCTAACATTTGTCTCATATAATTATACCGAACTAAGAATGTTGTGATCGAGGCTGTCATTACAAAAGGGATATATCACCAGTTGAACCGTCGCATGCGCAGTCCTGTGATTAATTCGGCCACACCCACCCCAACCCTCGCTATGGTAATGCATGCCTTTGTCTCTTGCACGTAGGCTGATCCTGTCTGGTGAAAAAATACTCAATGAGCGTTGTCACGTTGATGCCGAGATTAACTGCGCAAGCGCAATGTATTATATGTATAGGTAGACCTGCTATTAACAGTTATATATGTAGTTGTAAATTAAGAATCGTTTTGAGATTTAAAAAAATTACAGAGTAGTGTCTAACCAATTGTTGAGCTACCATGTCTTACGCGACATCGTCGAATTTTTTCAACATGCAAAATCTGATAGATTTACATAGTAATATTTCCTTAATATCAAACTGCAAGGCTGAAGTTATAATTATTAACTAACTAGCTGTTACCCACGAGTCGTCCTGACCGTCATTCTTGCAAGTTAATCATATTCTGTGAACATTTTTAAATATCATTTATACAACAATTATTCTTTTATATCGATTTTTCCAAATTTTCCACTGTCAATTTTTCACATTTTTTTAATTAGAACCAGTGTTCCTTGAGCGCGTTAACACACAAACAAACTTTTTAGCTTTATAATGCTAGCAAAGATGGAGCATAATGGACTTGTAATAGAGTATGTGTAAATAAATTAAATCTAAAGGCTACATAAGATCAGCTTCTTTCCTAGTGAGGAACGTAAAAGCGAAATAAAACAGTAAGCTACCATTGTCAGCACAAATACGGGACATTTGCTATAATTATACTGTGCTCCCCACACAATCCTTGGTATTAGCTTCGTCGACTTTCAACTAGATCCATACACTTCCTTGCTCCAACACAAGAAGTAATATCGCATAGTTTATATATACTGCTCGCCGCACATGACTTTGACTATATAAACTATTGAAAAAACAAGCAATGTACAGCGAATGAAAGTTAGATATGACTATATCGTTTGTGTGTACCACGACGGGGTGTCAAACCCATGATTATAGCATTATTAACAGAAGGGCACATTTGTGGCTAGAAATGTTGCAATTCAATATTATATTGGGTTATTACAGCTCTATTGAACATTTTAAATGGCTTTAAAATATTCAAGTCAGTTTATTGAGCATAACAAACATATATTTTAATATAAGAAAAATAAATTTGTTTCTTTGTTAACTACTTGAAAGACGGCTTATATTAATTTAGGGTTAAAAACTAATTTTGAAAACTTTATAATTTTAGATCGATTTTTTTTATGAAACGGGCAGAGCAACAGCACGTATATTTGTAGACGCCGGCTCAAGTCCCGCCCATAACTAACTAATGCTTAGTAAGTAATAATGTTGTATGTTTGTTAAACTATTGTCTAAGAATGACAAAAATTAACATAATTATGCAGTTATTTTGGAATTTAAAACAGTGCATATTTAGTACGTTTTTAAATCAATAGTTTGTGGACATTCGTTTTTTAGGCAAGCAATACATGTTAAAAATGACCAAATCTATTTCTTGAATGACCCAAAAGGATCCTCTTAGCACGTGAAAAATTGCGCGACCTTCGTAGAATCGAGACCATCTCGATTGTGCATCATTTTCGAGTCAATAAAATCACCTCTGATTGATGATCGCGTTTTAGGGTTCCGTATTATAAAGGTGAAACCGTCTGTCACCGTGCTATAATAGTACATTATGATATAAGTTGAAAAGTACAGCCGAGGCCATATATAAGAAAGCAAAGGCTGTAATTTTCAAAGCGCACGTATGTCATACGACGTTTTATAACATATTTACGAGGAAATTACGATATTTTCAAATAAAAACAATACAGCGAAAAGAAAAAGCGCGCGGAATTATATTTTTTACTTGACCACAAATAAGCGATGCGCGCGCATCAACGTTTTTTTTTCAGGCAAAGGTATAAAAAACAGCCAGTATTACTAATAAAGTAAATTAATATTTTTGAGTTTTTGTTATAGATAAATGGTTGTAATTTATTGTCAAATTTAATTAAATTAAAGAATTCAATGTTTATTTGTTATATTTCATTTCCCAATTTATTTTAATTTTATTCATAAAATATTGACCACTTTCTTGACATAAAACCTCCTTGCTAAGATTTTTAAAAGTATCGTTCTTTTTTAGACGGAGTATCTTAAAACTTTATTAAAAAAAAAAACACGTGCCTTTTACATTACATTATCGCACAAGTACGTAACGAGATATATTACGATATTGAAATTGGTGTAATTATAACTACTTTACGAGCAAATATGTTATAAATATCTTTTTTATCTGTGTTGCCATGTGAAACGTTGACAGCAAAAAGGTTCATTATAGTTTGTTGCTACATTAAAAATATAAGAAAAACACAGATACTTAAATTTGAAAAAAAAACATAGTTTCATAAATAGGGAGGATAAAGAACTCTAGATTTCAAAAAACAGCATTTTGGCAAACGCAAGAACACTTATAGTCATTTCTGCAAGGACCCGGCCAGTTTCTCCAAACACTGACTACAACGGAAAAGATGGCGCTAGCGTAGCAATTTTTTTCTTTGACATCAGACCTTCTATCTTTAGTCTCCCCGTGACCACTGCTGCTGCAAATCATCTAAAACGTCGGGCCGTAGTTAAAATATTTTTTAAATAAGTTTAACTAATATATTTCGCATTTCAAGCCAGGTCATTTATAGATTTACAATGCGGAACCGCTCGCGAGTCAATCGCAGTCGTGTTCGCCCGCTTCATCTCGCGTCCGTCACGAGGCATCTCTAAACTGTTAACAATGGCCTTTTTTACTATCCGATCATCGATTACTTTTTTATTAACGAAAATATCAATAATCTGTTTACGCCCACTGTTAATTCCGACGTTGCCAGAATTGAATCTTGACACGTGTTACGAGGCGAAAATAATTTTGTGGGTGCGTGATTCTGCTGTTTTATCACTTTTGTTTGTTTCTTTTGGCCGACGCCTCGCATTGTGGAGGCATTTAGTGCATGACTAGCGCTTTTTTATTACCATTGTAACGAACGGCCGTATCATTGCCTCGAGAGGCGACTCACCTGACGCGACCATTAAGGGCGCATCTCTCGGAGCGATCTCCAAATTGCCTTCCATAATTGCAATCAATTTGGCAGGGTCAGGCGCGTTAGCCATTAGACTCTTCACTTTGATCGTTTCTTTAAGGGCAGGTGGTAAAATAACAAACCTTAGATCTGGTATCGAAAACTTCAATATGGTGTTACTAATAGGATGCCAAGTTGAACTGCGCTTGCGTCATGTTTATTTACTGAAATTCTAATAATTAAAATTTCTCTTGATTTATATATGCTTACGTACACGTTGATGTAATAAGGTATTAATATTTAATACAAAAAAACTAGTTTATGTTTGAAAACATTAATATTTTTCACATGTTATTGCACATGGAGGCACAATATAATTTAAAAATCGAAAATAAATTGGAAAAATTTTCGACTCGGGCAGGACTTGAACCGGCATCGTCAGCGTTCCGTGCTGTTCCTCTACCAACTCAATTGGTTTCAATTTATTTTCGATTTTTAAATTAAACTAGTTTATTTCACTTCATCGATGCTAACTTAGTGACTGACGAATAATTTTCAAAATTATAAAAGTTCAAATATGTGAAACTTACTAAAACCATCGACCGATGGGAAACGAATTGACGACACGTCATTTAATCATTAGTTTATTCGAAATTAAAGACAGTTAAACCTTTGACCGAGCACAGATAAGCTCGCGTTAGAGGTGACAGATAATTCAGAAAACGTTTTATTGCCCAAAGTCAATTTGTTGGATAAACACGGCAATAAAATATCGATTTCTCACCAAGGAGCTATTTACAACATGGCCGGAGCGACACACGAGACACTGATTGCATCAATACCATTTCAATTATCGAAATAAGCGTTAGTTTCCCATATTTACTTACAGATCGTTAGAGCAGTTTTAGGGTTGACGACTGTACAAAATTAACAATAGGACATGATCAAGAAACAATGTCAAAAACTTGAAAAAACAATCTTTAAGTTTGTGATATTATTTTTTGTTAGTTTTGTTTTTTTAGTACCTAATATAAATGTAAGCATTATGCAGCCACTGTGTTATATAGTTGAGCAATTGTAAAGCGTCTTTGTTATAAATTTATGTAAACCTATAACAGTGCTTTTTATACATTAAGTGAGCGTACTGCAGAATTTAAAAGAAGAATATTTTTGATCGAAAAAAATTTATACTGTCTATAGTTTACACGAGTAGTACACATTTAAATAAAACAGTTTAACGGTATAAAACGCTATATATTAGTTAAACTAATTTGGTCAGATTTTAACTTTGGACCGACGTTTGCACGTTTGTTTTATTTAAATGTGTACTACTTGTACGAACAACGAAAATTGTATGATTGTTAGTTAAAAAAATACTTGAAACAATTTAAATATTGCACGATTTCATTTTTAAAGAATAAATAGAAAATAATCAATATAGTTAATAGTATTGTTGAGGAAAAATCAGCAGGAATACAGGTAGTGTCCTAAATGTTTTTATCTGTGGTTATTGTTTTATCTATGTTTGAATCGACTGTTCTATTAGCGATGGTCACCGCCATTACTTGACGTTTGACAGCCCTAAGCACGCGGCGGGAACCACAAAACATTCAATAACATAACTTATAACTCGAAAACGAGCCTTCAAATTACAAAAACCTGACAGCTTTAATATTTGCCCTGGGCCGAGCTCGTGGCGGGAACACCTCATGCTGCGCTTTTAATTTGTTCAGCATTTCACGTGATTCTTTCTGTGTTTTGTTTGTGGTGGTGATCGATCGTTTGTCCGCTTTTTTACCTCGTTTAATTTCGGAAAGAGTTCGATTTCGCCACGTCATTAGTGGGTGAATGGTATGTACTAATGTACTTTCTCACGATATTTGCGCTATCACATTTTATTTGAAGAAGCCTCGGAAGTGCATTTTATTTGGTGACACGTAAAATGTAATATCTAGGAATACAGGAAAGTCTATCCATTTTTTTAATGATACAGGATAGAGCATGGGGTTCGCTTGATAATAGGTGAAACCCCCCAGCCATATAACATCTAAACAAGATACGCTATCGACCTATTTTAGGTTTTGATATCGGAAAATACACAGACTGAAACCTAAACGCGATTATACTTCACAGCTTTTCCATCTGTGACCCGAACGGAATTTCAATATTCCTACCATTTAACATCCGTTTCGGAATAATTATAAATTGATTAAATGCACCCGGCATGGTTCTAACCCACGACCCGTTGATTATTAGGCATATATTATTATTATTACACCGATGTGCCCGTCAAAAATATCATATGAAACAAAGGAGGTAAAAAGTACAGATATTTCTTTAAATATTACATAATAATGATAATAGTGAATATAATATAAAGCCTAAAAGTGACATTCATTTTTATACAGTCTGTGGTTTACGCGAGTAGTACACATTTAAATAAACACTTTACTTCACTACACTACTACTTTCGGTCACGGGGAGACTGCTGCAAAGCACGTCGGACCGTAGTTAAAAATAATTTTCAATCAACTAAAATATATCGCATTTTAAACTGTTAGAGTGTTTTATTTCAATATATTTTTATTTAATTTTGCCTCTTTGGCAATTATAATCTTTAATATATATTTAAAGTTTAAAATCTGGTTTCTCAGGTCGTGTGGAAGAGATGGTTCATGAGGCACCGTCCACAGACGAAAAAGCTGCGAAGTGGTAAGTCTGCATTCCATTCTAAGTTTGTGAATACTAAAAAACAAAATATATTAGTATTTTACCTACCGATACCTGATCTATGTGTCTGCTTTTTTCTGATGAAAAACATACGAAGATATATATTTTTGACCACTACTGAAAAGAGAACCTTGAAAGTTTAAAATACAATTAATCTCATCAATAACTCGGATAAGTTTGCAATAAGAGGAAAACCGTTTCGCCGCGGACAATAAATCACTTATTAATAATAACTTAACCTTTGTTTGGTGGCTCGGTGGCGAAATTGCCGGCGATTATCCCAAATAATTCACTCGCTTTCTTTTGGAAAAGCACGCCGAATTAAAACCACGTCACGGATTTATCATAAATAATGGTTTTCAGAATTTGGGGAATATTTTTAAAAAGTGAGTCGTAAAGGGAAAACATATAACACGAGTTTTTAGGTAAATTTTTATGACAAGAGCTTCACTTGACAGTAGGTGGCACTAACTATAACATCTTAAAAGAGTACTGTCAATTTGCCATTAGATATTCAAGATATATTAAGCATTAATTCCGACTAAGACGGAACAGATGGCGATAGCGTAGAAGTTTTTACTTTGACATTAGAGACATCCCTCCATCTTTAGTTGCCCCGTGACCACGACTGCTGCAAAGCATCCGAAACGTCAAGCCGTAGTTAAAAGAGTTTTTCAAATAAGTTTAACTAATATATATCGCGTTTTAAACCGTAACAGTGTTTTATTTAAATGTTTACTAATCTTGTAAAATAGAGACAATACGTTATATAAGTATTAAATAGGGAGCATCCCATGTCCCCACTCGTTAATACATTTTTATTTACCAACATCGGACATCTTGCTAAATTAGTTCTGTTCTGTATAAAAATATAAAAAAAACACAAACTCCCCGCAGCAGTGCATGTCATTGAGTTGTCGTCTATACTCATAAAGTCTGCAGGAAAATTTCACCATCATATTTATGGACCACCCACTCTCGGTGCCTCTAGGCTTGTGGGTCCCTAAGATATTTACCTATCCTTTCAATAATACCATTTTGACGAGCTGGTTGCTGTAATTAATAGCGACGTATGGCTTACAATCTATGGGTCGTGGTTCAAATCCCGCCAGATCCAATATGTTTATAAATTTTAATTAAAGTATATTTTTTTTGTAACATGTTGGACTTTGTTTGAATAAATGGGTGGTAGGAATGTTGAAATTCTATCTACAGATATGGACTTTCATCTCTGGATTTTCGTATGGACGATGCGGATTTCCGCAGGATGCGCATCTAGTAAAGATTTTAGATCGGTCTGGGGAATTTTACCTTTTGTCCAATTAACTGCATGTTTATCTGTCCTTTTCTAACGTAAAAACGCCGTTTTGGTCTTAATGTTGTTCCACTCCATGGTTTGTTGCTGAAAAACGGTGCTATATACTGTCTAAAGTTTACGCGAGTAGTTACACATTAAAATATTTTGCAAGATTAATTATTCATTTTCAAATAAGTTAACAATATATCGCGTTTTAAACCGTTAAAGTGTTTTATTTAAACGGTGCTATAGTTATACTTATATTGTCGCATTTTTTTAATGCTTTCAATTATTTTTTTCGTACATATTTTTTGGGTACCTATTATTTATAATTTTATCCAGTTATTTTCAAATGTCACGCTGTTTCTTCGATCCTATAATTGTTTAATTAGAACCAGTAGTTCCTGGGATTAGCGCGTTCAAACGATCTCTTCAGCTATATTAGTATAGATTGACTGCCTCAGAAGTAGCCAACCTACGCGACATCTGTCGACACATCGCGCCACTAGGGGGCCCAGCTATTGCTCGCGGCTCGTAATTTAAAATACCTGATTTATAGTCCAACAGTAGCATTAAATTTGTAATCATATATTGATTTACAGCCGCGATAAGGCGCGCCCGCTGTCTTCCGAGAACGCTTTTGCAATCGCCTCAACATGTGGGTGAAATATATGGCTCGTGAACTGGGATATGACAATATACTATTGTTGGGAGTGGACCTGTTAATCGCTCGATAAAAGGAGCACTTCGTAAATACTGTACTTGAGGACGACTCTATAGCCTGTCTCTAGTCAAACATCAAATTGTTTGAAATTTCTGTGGCTGTGTGTGTTTGTTTTTAAAGTGAATTTTCGCTTTTTTTCAGACCAGAGTAGTTCACCAGAGTTTCACTACACAGTTTCTTGTTTAAAAACTGTTTATAGTTTATTATTAATAATAATAATAAAGTATTTACTGCACAAACTAACTAAGAAGATGGATCATAGAATTATATATACAAAATAAAACTGTTTGTAAAGGCTAGT